TGCCAGCCAGCCCTGCCCCCTGTTGGGCTGAGCTGGCCACACACACACACACACACACACACACACACACACACACAAATAAATAAATAAAATTAAAAAAAAATAAATAAACTCTGGCCTCTCAGGCCCATAGAGGATATTTCTATGACCAGTTAGAGGTAAGCTGCAGACTCCTGTTGCGGAAAAATATTTATTGATGGGGCAGGGATTGTGTCACAAAATTAGGTATCAAAAATGAGCATGACCTCATGTTTGTGTATACAGAAGAAATTTTATTGAAGTGATAATGGATTTTTTCCTGAAATCTCTAATTTCCTTTTGTTACATATTTGCATCGAGAGAAAAAATCAAGAAAGAGAGAGAGAGAGAGAGAGAGAGAGAGAGAGAGAGAGAGAGAAATTAACTGTAGAGCCTCTTCAGGAAGTAGACCTCTGTGGAGGGTTACTCCAGGAAGCCTTTGGGTAAGAAGTGGTGCTCTAGGAGGCTCTGTGCTTCAGGAAATGAGCAGCCCTTGGAAGGGCCAGACATTCTTCCCACCGGAGGTGGCTCAGGCTTCTGAAGGAGCTTCAGGCTTTGGGGAGAGGCGTGGCTTAACCAGGAAGACACGTGGCTTGGCTGGGCAAGGGGGATATAGGCAGAATTTCAAGCACATTCTTTGCTCAAATCTAGGGAGTGGTCTGATCACCAAGAATGCCATCCTGTAGGAAATCAGTTTTTCCTGATTCATTGGGTTTACACATCAAGCATTTCTGGGCCACCTTCTTGCATGGGATGTAGCGATATGTTCTTTTGTTTGTAGTGTTCCATCACACCAAGACAAAGAAGCCACAGTGTACTTTCCTTATAAATCATTCCAGTGTGAAATGCATAGCTTGTGGGGGCAAATACATGGTGCTGATAAGACAGTAAATGTAGGAGAGCAAGGGTTATTCTTTTTGATCAGGACTCTAAAATAAAATGCAATACACATACACTGATGGCTTCACTCTGTGTTGAAAAGATCTGTTTAATGCACACCTCGGATGTTAGGAGAGGCAAAACATTAATGATACTGCGTTTGACTTATTTACTGAACAACAGGAGAGCAATTCTGGACAGGTGTGGGCTCTGCCTTGATGGGACATACTTCCTTCTATCTTGTTCTGCTTTGCTATCTTCAGTTTCATGGTCATGGCATACATCTGTTTCAGGCAGCAGAACAGAGGAAAAAAAAAACCAAGTTTCACTGTGTAACCTTCTTCTCTTCTTCTGTGTGTAATGACATGGCAATGTCTTCAGCTGTATACAAAAGTCAGGTCATTTATGATACCAGAGAAATGAAAGAATGGATGTCGCAAGATGAGAAGGGGATCGCTGAGTTGCAAGCACCCATCACAGGACATCTCAGCCTCTCTAATGTGGGCATTGGGGGTCAGATGACTCTGTTGTGAATGGCCCTAGCAGCATGCCTATGGTGGTGAATGTCCACCTGTAGCATCCTACTTTTGACTATCAGGTCTCTAGGTACTGCTAAGTGTTCCCTGAGGGCATCTTCCCACTCCCACTTGAGAATTACTGATTCACTGTATACAGGACCTGTGTTAGTTCCTGAGGAGATGAAAACAAAGCACACCAGAGGTTACTTCAAACAGCATGTTAGGACTAAAGTAAGATCAGGTAAGAAGCCAGAGAGGACTGCAGTGCATTTGTTTGTTTTTGGATACTGGGGAATTGAACCTAGGATTTCATGTTTGCCAGGCAGGTACTGTGTCACTGAGCTAAATCTCCTGCTCCTGGACTGCAATGTATTTTCTATGTGTACAAAAGTCCTAACATGGGAAAGAAGTGCGCTTGTTCTAAGAAGAGTAAGACTTCAGGGGTGATCTGTGGGGCTGGAGAGTAGGTGGGAGTCTGGAGAGATCCTGGGGGTTTGATCTTAAGAGCAATGGGAAATAATTGGAACTTTAGATATCTGCTGTGTTTTAGATCTGGACCCCACACCCCACCTCACCCTACCAAGTTGCCTGTGTTCAGAGACATGGCCTATGGAAGGGGACAGGATCAGGAAGGCTCCAACTTCATCTGTGGATTAATCCATGCTGAGATCATTTGATGGCACTATTGGCAGGTAATGGAGCTCAGGAGGTGGGCCCAGCTGAAGAGGAATGCTCTGGCAATATGACCTTTGTCCTTGGTCCCCAGGCCTGGCCCTTGCCTTTTCCTCCCTCTGCTTTCTGGCTCCCTGAGGAGTAGCTTCCTTGGCCACACCCTTCCTGCTTAACCATAGGCCTAAAAGCAGTGGAGTCAGCTGGCCGTGAACTGCAACGGTGAGCCCAAAGAAATCTCTTCCTCCTTTACTTTTCTGTTATTGGTCACAGCAACAAAGAACTGACACACATCATCTCAGTCTTTAAATCACATGGGAGCTGGACATGTGTAAGAGGGGCTAAGAGAAGCAGCGGGGAGCCCAGGAGGCTGTCCTCAGCTCAGTGAGACAACAGCAGCTAGAGCTTGACAGTAGTGCTGGGAAATAAGATTGAAGGAGATGGGTAGAGCATGCTTTAATTTATCCAAATGGCTAATGGTGAAGACTAAGTATGGTGAAAGAGTATTTTATACAACTTAAAATGTATTTATATAATTAAGTTGGTATAGGGTCTCACTACACAGCTTGGACTTGTAGTGAGCCTCCTGTTTTCAGCCTCCCCAGCGCTGGGATTACAGGTGTGTGCCACCATGCCTGGACTCAGTGGCTGGCTCAATACACTTGAGGGTGGGGCTAGCACAGCATGTGTGCCCAAGAATTGAACCCTGGTCTTTGCACTTGCTTAAGCAGGTGCTTCGTCTGCTGGGCTATCTCGCCGGCCCTAACAACTTAAAATTTAGTCCAGACCTTTGCTGTATTTGTCCTGTACATTCCTGTATTAACTCCCTGTTGCAGCTGTAACAAATCACTAAAAACTTAGCAGCCTGAACCATCATATTACCCTCACTGTTCTGGAGGCTAGGAGTTCAAGTAACCATTTCACTGGGGTCCGCAGTTTTATGCTCTAGGGGACCATCTCCCCCTTGCCTCTCCCAGCCTCCATCACTGCTGGCACTCTTTCACTCATGGTCACATTTGCCAATTTCTCTTGTGTGGAATATATCCCTTCACTCTTTTCCTAGGATACCTGTGACTGCACTTAGGGTCTATCCTGTACTCAGGATAATCTCTTCATTTTAAGATTCTTAATTTAATCATGTTAAGCTGTAGAAAGAAGCATTTCTAGCATTCAAGGATTAGGGATTAAGATGTGGATATTCAATCTTCCACAGTTCACAAACTGTCTGAAATCACCTTCAGCTAGCAAAGGAAGGGATGTTGTATGTTTACGTAGAGATGAAGGTTAAAAGAACTTTCATTCAGAAATAAGAAAAGAATGTTAAAAAAAGAGAAACCCCCCAATAAGTAGATTTTCAAGATTTCTAGGGAAGGTAGGCAAAGGGATGAAAAAATATAGGAGGCTCTCCCAGTGGCAGAGTACCTGCCTAGCATGTGGGCTCAATCTTTAACTGTACAAATGGAACAAGGCAGAAATCTAATTAACAGTACTGGGGTCCAGTTGGATAAGCAACAAGGATGACTCCTGCCAAATTCTAAAGTGGTTAGCTAGAACTTTCATGTTCCTTCCTCGATAACAGAACCTGAGCAAATATTCAAGTAGGGAGAAAGTCTGACATACTTACGACACACTTTTTCCTGCAGAAAATGCCAACAATAAGTCATATTTGAATCTATAATGAAGCCTAATATGTAAAGAAGTCATTACTGACAGTGGAAAAATAATTTACTGTGCAGTATAGGTCTATCTATAACACAGATTTTCTTTTTTTAAAAATTATTTATTTGTGTGTGTGTGTGTGTGTGTGTGTGTGTGTGGCCAGCTCAGCCCACCAGAGGGCGGGGCTGGTTGGCATGTGGTGCTGGGGGATTGAACCGCGGTCCCTGTGCTTTGCTAAGCTTGTTCTAAGTAGGTGCTTTAGACCACTGAGCCATCTCACCAGGCCTGAGATTTTCTCATTGAACCTGATTTGCTAGCCACCATCGTTGGTAAGGAGAGTAACAGGAATAACTGGCAAACCTACCTTGTGAAACAGTACGGTACAGCGGAAAAGTAAAGGCTTGGATGCCAGACCACTTGTTCAAACCCTGGCTTCACACGGCAGTATTTTAGGCTTAGCAAATCATGGGTAGTTTGTAAATGAAGACTACAATAATATCTAGGAAACCAGTACACCTGAATTTTAAACTTAAACCCTGATTCTCGATCCAACTTCTCTCCAGTTTACCTGGGGAAAACAAACTTTTGCCATCTCCAGTTAAGAGTTCTATAAAACTGTAAAAGTCTAAGATCTCCAATATTTAAATTTTAATTAGCTTTTTCATGCTAAGAGAACCCAGACTTTCTCCTAACTATACAGTCTCAACATCAAGAATCACTGTTAGTTTCTATAGTAACCCAATTTCAACTTTATTTTAGTTTTTAAAATTATTTAAAAAGAAAATAAAAATAAAACAGACTTTCAAAACAGACCAATAGGAGAGTAACAATAATTGACATAATAGAAAATGAAGCCCTAGAAAGTTTCAGTGGCTTCTTTTAAAGCTCAAATGTCTAAGTGGTGAAGGCAGGATTAGATTCTGGTTCTGCTGCTCTAAAGCAACAGTTTTTCCTTTTCTGTATGTTATTCTGGCCTAAGACTCGATGTGTGTGGAGCAGGCCAAGACCTCACTCACTCACCATCCTCATATTTACCCATCCTGCTCTCACTCTGATATTTCTAAGTCTATGCTCTGAGCTGTCATTCGTTCATTTCTCTGCTTCTCCACCACGCCCTCCCTTTCTGGTTATTTCTGGTATTGTCAGCCCATATGGTCTCCAATTTCTTACTCTTGTTAAATGTCTCCTCCATGTCTGTTTTCTAGCAGTAACTCCTGACTTTTATCTGAAATAAAATTATGTATTTGCTCATTTCACCCCCTCTCCAATAAAAACTTAACTATACCATTAAGCTGGATTTAAAATGATAAACTCAGCTAAGCTCCACAGCCCCAGCTACTCAGGTGCTGAAGCAGAAGGACTGTAAGTCTGAAGCCAGCCTGGGCAGCTTTGAAAGATGCTGCTTTAAAATAAAAAGTAAAAGGTGCTAGCTCAGCACTCTTTGGGTCTAATCTTTAGTATTACAAATGAGTAAATAAACAAAAATCTCAAAACAAAATCCCCCAAACAGTGTTTAACAGTGAGTAGAAAAGAAAAATTCTAGTTAGTATTTTCATTTTCTTTTATAATTAGATCTTCATGAGACAAGGAAGTGGATTTTCATGTTTAAACTTAAGCTGAAACAACCAAAGTCAAATTAATATTACGATCACTACCTCTAAATGCATACTGAATTAAAAAATAATATTTAATATTCAGAATACAGAAACATCTCAGAGAAACTATGTGACACCAGTGTGCATATGTTTGAGGTAATGTTTGTATAACTCAAATCCAGAGAAAACACTGTTTTTAGGATACATTATACATTAACTTTTTAAGTCAAGAATTCTATAATGCAAAATAAGTTCAGTTCAATGCTATGATAGCTATGCAGAGATATAAACCCTTATTGCTGGGGGAAATCTGAAAAGGCAGAATACTTACTAATTATATAGTACTAGCACAAATGTCAATAAAAAAGTCCAACAGTAACAAAAATATAATTATCAACATAGCCATCTTACTATAGCAAAGTATAGTACCTGCAGTCTTAAAAAAAAAAAAAAGGTCATTGTTTTCATTATTCTTTTCAAGTCTTTTCTATAAACACAGTGGCTAATTCTTATTATTTATCTGTATTTAATTTCTTTATAAACAAATTTGCTGCTACTAAGCACTACTTTCAAACACATTAGCATTATCATCTAATTATATTATTAATGAAAGGCATCATGGCTTTCAAGGGTATTAATGGTTTCATGCAACTTTAAAAAATCTAATTTTGGAAGTAACTGGCTAGTGAATTTTTCTTTCATTTGTAAATAGCCATCATATACCAATGTTATTATCAAATGTAAATATGACATTTAACATGCTTGTAGTTTTTAAAAGAGCTGGAATATACACTTTGTATCTGAAACATTATCAAATATTTTGACAGTATTATTACTATACACCCTATGTGTAGCAGTAAAAATAGAAACTAGCGGCCAGTTGTAGTACATTCTCCAAACTGAATTTTACATTTTCTTGTGGTTGCCATTGTCACAAATTTCTTATCTTCACATTGTATATCACAGTCTTCTTTCCTAAGGTTCACAGGTCTTTCTTATTGCCTTTTTCAAAACGATTCTGTAAGAAAAAAAAAAATACAACAGAGAATACAGCAAAGAGAAACATCTATAGATATAAGAATTTTGAAAAAACTTCCTTTCCATACATAGTTGTTCATTGTAAGAACCATCAATTGTGAAAATGGACTAAAAAAGTCTCATTTAAAAAAGTATAAAATTTGAGCTTTATTTGAAAAGACATTTACAGGAGAAACATTTACACTGCCAATAGGTTCATTTTTTCCATACCTTAACCTATTTTGCTTTTGTGTTACAGGTTACTTGAGGAAAAAAATGCTTTAAATTCCCCTACTGAGACCAAGAGCTAAGAGGGGGAGGGATGGCATGTTATGTGCATGTACCAATTCCAGTAAGGAATGTAATCATTATGTACTGTGAATATGGACTAATATGAGTAAATTTTTTTT